GGCGATGGCGGAGTCAGCGCGCAGCGCCCAGCAGCGCGGGGGCGAGCTGAGGGTTCGGAGCTCGCCGCTGAAGCCGAGATCTCTTAGCTGCGGGCAAGGCCTCAGAAGCTGCGTGGCCCGGCAAGCCGGGAGTTCCGTTTCGACGGGGCCGCGCGCTGAATGGGCCTCTGGTCGAGTGGATGTTGAATTGTTCGGGCCGCGAGAGGATGGCGCCTGTCGCGTTATCCAACGACCAACATACCTCCTCGCGGCTCTCGCCGCGTCGTCGTTTCTCGCGTCTTTTCTTTCCCGGCGTGGTTTCTCGCGGTTGCGCATCCCCCCGGCGAAGTTTCCCGCGGCGCCCGCCGCGCTGTCTCGCGGCCAGCCCCCCGCGGCGCTATCTCTGCGAGCTTCTGCGGGCGCGCGGGTTCTCGCCGCGCTTCCCCGCGCGCGCGCGGCGCCCGGCGCCGTCGCGCCCGCGCTTGGCGTTTCCCCGCCCGCGCCTGGAAGGCCGCGGCGCCCCCTCCTGTTCAACGGCGCCCGCGACAGTATCCTCGACGTAACTTCGAGCACTCTGTCAAGAAAGATTCGAGCGACGTCCAGAGCTCGGGCGCCCGCGCCCACGACGTTGCGAGCGTCGACGCGAAGCGCGGGCGTCGTTGCAGAACGAGTCTCGGCGCGGGCGCCACGGAAAGCCGCGCGCGGCTTCAGAGCTGCACAGGGGGATTCGAGAGAGGTCTCGCGGGGTCTCGAGTCGATTGAATAAGGCGTCGAAAGAGGTCTTGGCGCTTCGGGTGATCTCTCAAGAGTGGCGTCGACGTCTCGAAAAGGTTTCCCGAACAGAAGGGGCCGCGAACCTGGTCTCGACGTCTCGAACGAAGCTCCAAAAGAGGTCTCGACATCTCGAAAGAGGTTTCAGCATGGATCTCGCGGTCTCGAAGGAGGTCGCGACATCGGTTTCGACTTCGCGGGCAAGGTCTCGAGGCGTCGAAGGTTCGAAGGAGGTCTAGAGGTTTCGAATGATATATCGAGTGATTTGTTTCGACGTCTCTCCACGCGCGCGTCTGGAATGCCGCGAGCAGCCCCCCCCCCTTTCGCCGATCCATGGGGTTTTACAACGTTAATTTTATCAGATTTCCCCTTCCTCGCCAACGTCGGGGCGCCCGCGAAGGCCCCGCCCCTTGCCCTTCTCGCCTGCCGACGCCCCGATCTCCGAGGCTTCCCCTCGCCCCTTGCCGACGCCTGGATTTTTGCGCTGCCGCCCCCGCGCCGACGTCGGGGCATCTGCGCAGCCCCCCCCCCCCCCTGCCGACGCCGGCGTTCGCGGCGCCCCCTTCCGCCCCCGCGCGTTCTGCCGACGGCCCCTCGCCCGGCCCGCGCCTGGACTTTCGCGAAGTCGCAGGGCCCGCCCGTGCCCCCGCTCTGTCCACTTGCAAGGCGTCGCGGGAGATTTGTCTTGCCGCGCGCCCGCCCGCCGCCGGGGCGCCCGGTCGCGGGCGCGGCGGGGTCGCGAGCGGGCGGGCCCAAATTGGCGCTGCCATCCGGGGGCCGACTGCGCCCCGCCCGGGCCTCGGCCATCGAACCTCTGCCGACGGGCGCGCCCTGGGCCGGGGGTCGAAATTTGCTTGCGGGCGCGACCTCCCGCTCGGCCCTGGGCCCACCTGAGAGATTAGGGCCGCGGGCTATGCGGGGCCGAGAAGAAGAGCGCGATCCATCGTGCCTGGCGCGCTGGCTTGTCTTGTCGCCGGCGCAGCGCCCCGCCGTGAGTCCGCGGGCCCCCCCCCGCGCGCGCCCCGCGCGCGCGCCATGCCCCCTCCCCGCCGCTCCCCCCGCGCCCGCCGCCCCCCGTCGCCCCCCCCCCCGCCCCTCCGCGCCGTTCCCCGCCAGCCCACCCGAGAACGAGAGCGAGGCGCCCTGATCGGCGACTTGGAGGGGCAAGGGGCACGCGACAAAGGGCCGGGGAAACTATCGCATGCCCGCCGCGCGCTCGGCAGGCCCAAGGCAGAGGGCCACGGGGGCTGCAGGGGGTTCTGGAAGCCTCTCCAGGAGGCCCTTGGAAGCTTCTCCGAGGTTCCAGAAGGCTTCGCGAGGCCTCCTGGAGTCTTTGGTAGGCATCTCAAGGCGGGTCCCGATCCAGGCTCCAGGCGGCTCGTGGAAGTCTCGTCTCTCCATGATGCTCCTGGGGACCTTTCCAGGATGCTTCTTCTCCGGGTTCGAAGAGGGGGGCTCCCCCAGCTCTCCAGGAAGCTTCAGGAGGCCGCGGGAAGCGGCTGCAGGAAGCCCAAGGACGGGCCTCGCGCCTCGCCCTTACCCCCCGCGCCGCCGCGCCCACAGCAGTGCCTGCCGCGCGCGCCGCGTTGCCCAGCGCGCCCAGCACGGCGCCCACCGCGCCCAGCACGGCGCCTAGCGCGGGGGCGCTCGCCGCGCCCAGCGCGGTGCCCGCCGCCTCCGGCACGGGGCCAGCCGTTGGGGTTCGCGGGCAGCCCTGAGTCTGCCCAGAGCGCCCGTGGACCACATTGCCTGGAAGCTTCTCGCGGTCCTCGCGCGCCGAAGTCAGCTGTTGCAAGCTGGTGACCTTTGAGCGCGCCGGACTGGAGACGTCGCGACCCGTTCAGCGCGCTTCGAGCGCCGAGCTACCGAGCTGTAAATCGCGCGCCCTTCAGCTTGCCTTGCGCGCCGAACTGCGGGCAATGTGGGCCGCTGAGCGCGCCTCGCGCGCCGGCGCGTGAATTGCGTCGACCGCAAAGCGCGTCCTCGCGCGCCGAGGCGACCGTCTATGTCGTCGACCGCTCTGGAAAATGATTATATATTGGAGGCCATCTCGGACTACCCAGGGCCTTGGAGCCATCCTGGTCGCCCCGGGCGCTCGAGCGGGCCGCGGCCCCATCTTTTCCATGGGCGGGGGAGGCGAGGGGCCCTGGGGGGGGGGAGAACGCCATTCGTCAAGCGACCCCGCGCCCGGCGGGCGGGGGGAGGTGCGTTTTCAGCTTGGGGCCGCCGCGAATTCGAACGCCGCGGTTCTCTTTGTGGCGGGTGTGTCCGCGGCGTTCGCGCCGGCTCGCGCCGCGTCGCCAGTTCCGCGCGAACGTTTTTGCCGGCGTTGAAATCGACGCCCTTGGTCGCCACAGTCTGGGCGCCGACGTCAGGATCGAGGCCCTCGGAGTTTCAAGCGCCCCGCTGGGGCGGAGATTGAGAGCGCAGTCTGGGCGCCAACGCCAGAATCGAGGCCCCTCGGGGCCCTTGAGACGCGGGCGGGATCTGCGCAACGCTCGCACCGAGGCAGGCAGCAGGTCAAACTCAGCACTCGAGCCTCGATGTTCTTTTTGAGCGCAGATACTCTCTCCTCGGCAGGAGGGGCAGGAGGAACAGGGGGGGGCGGAAAATGATGACGGGGGGACATATTTTTGGAACCTTTCCGGGGCCTCCTGGGAGCTTCCTGGGTGCCGCTTGGGGGGGGCCTGTAGGTGGTCTTCTGTGGCCTTGCCCGGTTCCCTCGGGGGTTATTGGGCAGTCTAGCAGTGTTCTTGGCCCTTCTAAAGCTCCTGGGGGCCGTCTCGGGGGCCTCTCCTCTGGGCCGCCTTGGCGCCCTCTTGCGCCGCCCGTCGCCAGGGCCGGCGTCGCGGCCTGGCGGTTGCGTCGTCTTCGCCGCCGCGCGTCGCCGCCTTTTTCGCCGCCCGTCGTCGTTGCAATCTACGCGGTTCATCGAGCATTGCACGGCGCGCTGTGCACCGCACTGCAGCGTTCATATTACAACGAGTAGGTTATATCTCCTGAAAGAAAACAGATCCACCGCCACCCCGAGGGCGTGATTAACCGTTTTTTCGCTCTGAAATTGTCATGCATCTGCCCCGTCGCCGATCTTGAATGATTTCGAACCGCGCCAGCCAGGCCGCGATCGACCCCGCCGCCGTCCTCTGCAAAACAATTTACGTGGCGCACTCTTTCATCAACAATCACGACGCGCCGAGAGTCCTTCGCAAAACACTGGGCGAAGCGCGCGCGCGTCGTCTCGCGCGCATCCCGAAATCCTTCGGAACTTTATCCGTCGCGCGGATTGTCGCGTCGAGCGCCCTTAAGACGCGCGCGTGGTTTCGCGGCGGCAGCTTTCGAACAAAAGGTCTCCTTGCGAATGCTGAAGATCTCATAAATTATGTGCGTTGTGCGCTGTTAAATTCGACCACGCGGGCCTCTCCTCGCGCGCGTGGCGAAATCATGCGAACGCCTGTGCGTGCGCGTTATTGGGGGGCGTGGTCCCCGTCGACCAACGCCGCGCGGGCTGCTCTGCGCGCTGGCCGCGCGCGCGGGCGGCTCGCGCCGAAATTTGGGTGAATTTTGCAGCGCCGACGCGAGGGCGCGGTCGTCGTCGCCGACGCCGACGCTGTCAGCATTTGCACCGTCATGTGCCTTGACGTCGTGACTTCGCCCCCGTGGCCACCGCCATCGCTGCCATCGCAACCGCGTCAACCGCGGTCGACGTCTCCACGGTGCCGCGCCCGCCCGAGTCACCGACTCGCACTGACGGGCCCGCGCGTCAGCGCGGCCTTCGAGACGTGCTGGGATGCCCCCAGCGGTCAGCACCGCCGCGGTCGCGTCGGTCGCGCCGAATTAGCTGGCCGCTGCGCGCGCTCGCGAGCGCGGGCTAGCGCTGCCCCAGAGATGCGCCACTTAACGCCGAGCGTGCGTCGCAATCGCCGCCGCATGGGTTCTGCAAGCCACGTCGCGGGCGGGCGGGTGGGGAAATTTCGCGACCAGTGGAGTGGGCAATTCCAGGTCTTTCATAATTCATTGCGCCGCGTAAATCGCACAACATGTATTTCGCAACCTGCATGGCCCCACGTGCCAGGCACCCCGAAGGCTGGGCCACGTTTACCGCGCAACGCATATTGCACATCCCATATTGCATCGTGCATAATGAAGCACAGTGGTCACTGAATGCATATATATATATATATATATATATATGGCGGCGTTTTCAAACTTCCGTGTCCTGCCATCCCGTTTGCCGTCAATGCCACCGTCCGATGGCATTCATCTCAAGCTCTTTTTTCGACGGCCGGCACATGTACTCCCGACTTCGGAGCCTAGTCACTTCGCTCGGAGCCATAGTCGGTCCGAACCTCAACGGGTTCATCGGAGCTGCAGGTGGGCTCAGCGGCCTCGCGCAGCAGGTGACGGACTGCGCGGTGCTGGAGTTGGGCGCTCAGTGGGCTCCCGCCGCCCTGGTGCTGGTCTGGGTCTTCGGCTTCCTGGTGGGGGTGCTGTGTACGTGCTGCTATGTCCAGCAGTGCCCTACGGGTCGGGCGCCGCCTCAACCTGCAGTGGGGAGGTGGCGGGACCTGGCAGGCCCGCATCGTCGTTGGCCCAGCCACGCGGGAGGAGCTCAGCGACATCATGGAGATAGAGGCGAGCGCTCAGCAGGAGTCAGACGGCAAGATCTGGTACCTCCTGAGCCCGGACCTCGACGTCTACCCCGTGCTGGTGGACGCCCCGGACCTGCGCGGCTACGAGATTCTGGACAACGACGGGAGCGTGCTGTTGAGGTCTGGGCTCCGCCGGGGCGGGAGACCGGCGTGCGGCTCCGAGTGGGTGCCCACCGCGCGCGAGCTGGTGGACGCGATGGAGGCGGTGTCCCCGCAGCGCCAGCCCGAGCGCAGGATGACGAAGAAGGGTCCGCTTCTTCCGACGGAGGCAGCAGCGCAGACACCTACGGATTTGGTGAATATAGTGACTGGGAGTGAACGGCTCCCCGACGTGAAGCCGCTGCGCTGGTACGTCACGGCCGGGCCCAACAAGTCTGAGATCGACGGCCTCTTCCCCCGCGCCACGGTGGACGAGTTCGCGCGCTCGGACGACGTGGCCATCGCCGTGGTCGGCACTGGCGTGTACACCCTCAGGGCCCTCGACCCGAAGGACGGCGTTGCGCAGGTGATCCGCGACGATCGCCTGCTGGCGATGGCGAAGGACAGCAGCGGGATTCGCAAGAAGCTGTTCAGGGACGCTGTGCAGGAGGTCACGGAGAGCCCGTGGCCGGGGTGGCCGCTCCTGGGCCCGCGGACGGCGGCCTGGTGCGTCCGCTTCAACGCGGAGCAGGACAGCCACCCCCGGGCCCGCCACACCAAGTGGCTGCACGAGACAGGGCTCACACAGGCGGACCTGGGGGTGGCTGATCACGAAGTTGCCATGCGGGCCTTCGAGTTCGGGCTCGTGTACGATCAGGTGAACGTGGGAGAGCTTGTAAGCTTCGAGCTCCTGGCCCGGCGGGCGCAGATGGCGGAGTGGCGCTACCGCGACCGCCTAGCGCCCCGCCGGGCCGACGAGACAGCGGAGGACGAGCATCTCTATATGGGCACGGGAGAGACGAGGGGCCTCATCATGATGGCCCCTTTCTTGGTGGAGCACATTTCTACGGAGCTGCACCGGGAGAGCCAGGTGATGAAGGAGAAGAGGAAGTTGAGGGAGGAGCGCCAGCTCGCGAAGGGCACGGGCGCCGACGGCGACATGAAGGACGCCCTTCGCAAGAAGGTCGAGAGTCAGGCTGCGGAGCTTCGCCGGCTTCAGCAGCAAGGGGGCAAGGGGGGCCCCGCCGGCGGCCGCGACACCGGCGGCCGCGGCGCCAAGTGACAGCGCCATGCCTGCGCCTCGGGAGCTGCTGCCAGTGCCGCTCCCGCAGGCGCCCTCTGGCAGCGACGGGCGTCTTGGCTCGTGCTGTCGAACGGTGCGGTCTCGCCTACTCCGCCACTGGCACGTCGACGGGTGGAGCATGGCATCAGGCGCTGAATTGCCTCCACGGGCGCGGGGGCCCTGATCCCGGACGCCCGCCCACGGGCAAAGTTGTGGTTCTGAACACGTTCGAGCTGCTGTTCAAAGCATCGGGGCTCCTACGACGACCGGCGCGGCAGCCTTCAAGGAGCTGTGCGCCAGCAAGCCCGGCTACTCTTCGATGCCGGTGAAGCCCGCCGCCTTCCAGCGTGACCTCGTCGCGCTGCCCTCGCCCGGCGCCAAGTGCGACGGCGCCAGCATCTTGCAGGGCGAGGCGCTCAACCTTTGGGAGGAGCGGCAGCAAGCAACGGTTGTTGCGGAAGAACCCAGAGGTCCCCGCCGTGAAGCCCCACTGCGACGCGAAGCTGATGCAGAGCAAGTCCAGCTACGCCTCTTTCGTCGCCGACTTGTACGACGCCGGGCTGGTGAAGTTCGGCTCATTACGTGAATCTACTCTCGGTATATTTTTCGTCCCCAAGTCTGATGGGAAGTTGCGGCTCATCTTTGACACGCGCTGTGTCAACCAGCTCTTCGAGCCTCCTGCGCACGCGGCGCTGCCTACGGCCGGCTGCTGGAAGGGGCTACTCTTGGAGCCGAATGACGAGCTGTGCCTCTCGCAAGTTGACGTGGAGGCTTGCTTTTACCGCATGCGTGCACCTCCCGGGATGGAGGAAGTTTTCGTCTTACCCCCGCTGGACTGCGGTGCCCTTCGCCGACTTCGGCCGGACATCGCCATCGGCGGGGACCTGGCATGCCCCCCCTTGCTCATCGTTCTACCCATGGGTTGGAACTGGTCGCTGTTTTTTGCCAAGAGATGGCCGCGCAGTGCGTGCAGCGTGCTGGTTATCCGCCGTCCCGTATCATTGAAGACAAGCGGGCGACTCCCTCCCTGGTCGGCCAGACCGCTGCCGCGGTATATGTCGACGGAGTCGCAGTGATTGGCACGCAGAGCGCGCAGACCGTGCAGGACTGTCGTGCGATCGCCGAAGCCCTCCTCGCAGTGGGCCTGGTCACGAAGGACATGGAGCTGCCACAGGACGAGCAGCCGTTCACCGGGCTCATCTTCGAGAAGGGGTCCGGTCGGATTTCCCTCTCGCGCAGCCGGATCTGGAGGATCCGACGAGCTTTCCAGTACGCCGCAGAGGCCGACAAGCTCACCGGCGTGCAGATGCGCATGCTCCTGGGGCACTATACCTGGGCAGCCATGCTGAGGCGGCCACTGCTGTCCGTCTTCGCCGCCTGCTACTCTTTCGCGGAGAAGGCCGGGGACATGGCGTGGCGGCCTTGGGCTACTGTACGCCACGAGCTCAGGCTGAGCGCGGCACTGGTGGCGATGGCCTTCGTGGATTTGCGCCGGCCTGTCGCCGCCGCTGTCCTGGCTACCGACGCCTCGGGCGGCGCCCGGCAGGTCCGCAGTGTTGACCCAGACCTGTCGCCGCCGGGGCTTGAGCCGGCCGCCGCATGCGACTATGGGGGCTTCGGCGTTGTCAGTCGCGAAGTCTCGCGCTGTGCCGTGGCCGCCGCTCGTCAGCTCAGCGAGAAGTGGAGGTTCAAGACTCTCGACTTTCTAGGGGCCCGGGCCTCAGCGCTCGGTCTCAGAGACGATCCTCACGGTGCTGCCGCGCAGAATCATCCCCCCCCCTTGAAGTATCACCACGTACCGCCATCTGGGATGGGGGAGTCTGCTAACGATCCTTCATCATCGACGTCGCCGCCACATCGCTACGTCATCACCTGGGAGGAGGAGCAGAAGTTTTTCGAGATTGGTAAGAGTATATTGGGTTGTCAAGAAGACTGGAAGGTTTGTTTCTATGGACGGTTCAACAGGGCCGCCGACATCGTTATCCTGGAGGGGGAGGCTCTGGTCATGGGGGTCCGCCATTTCGTGCGCAACACTGCCAATCATGGGCGTCGCCTGCTGCTGCTATGCGACAACATAACATGGGGCTGGTGCTCGCGTCGGGTAAGGGGAGATCTTCGGTGCCGTCGCTTAACCTCGTGCTTCGTCGGCTTGCTGCGATCTCCATCATTGCCAACATCGATATCACAGTGCGGTGGATCCCTTCAGAGTTGAACCCAGCAGACGCTCCGTCGAGACTCCCTGCAGCCCGGGCTCAGGACGCCCGACTTGACCTCCGCTCCTTCGGAGGCCGCTCTGCACCGGAGCCCGACGATGACTCGCTATGGCGAGCCGCTGCGGAGGAGCTCGCCGCGGAAGGGCGCCCGCGGCGGCGCGACCCAGGCCTCGCCGGCCTCGGCGACGCCGCGGCGCCCGCGGCACTGGCCGGGGGCTTCGGGCTCCGCCGGGGGGGCGTCGGCGTGCAGCCGGACGACTCCTCGGACAGCGACTCGGAGTCGGAGCCCGCGGCCAGCTCGACCAGCTCCAGCCCCAGCGGAGCGGGCCACGGCGAGGAGAGCGAGGTTGGCAGCCGAGCGGGCCAGGACGGCACGCGCCACCACTCTGGTGCAGCCGACCAGGACCGCGCTCACGTACCTGCAGGCGCGCAAGATCAGGGCCTCGTCCAACGTGCACTTCGTGACCTCGTACCGGAATTTCGACATCTGGTGCCAGGCGCACGCCGTGCCGGTTCAGACCGCCAGCGAGATCGACAGGGCCATCAGCGAGTACATGGACGTGCTCTACTTCGACGGGATGCCGTCGGACGTCGCGTCGAAGACGATCGCGGCCGTCCGGCACTTCCGCCCCGCGGCGGTGGGCGAGTCCGAGCTGGCGGCCAGCAGGGCCGCCCTGAAGGGCTTCCGCCTACTCGCCCCGGCCCGCGCGCGCCAGCCGCTGGTCCGCGAGGCGGTCTTCTGCCTGATAGGCCTGGCGATGCTGGACGGCGAGTCGGAGTTCGCAGAGGCCCTCAGCTTGGCGTGGGACACCGCCCTCCGCCTACCCAGCGACCTGATGCAGCTGCGAAGCCCGTCCCTCGTGCCGCCGCAGCCACGCATGCAGATCAACGCGTGGAGCCTGCTGCTGCACCCAGAGGAGACCGGCCTGCGCAGCAAAGGGAAGCAGTTCGACGAGGGGGTCCAGCTCACGCCAGCGGGCTCAAAAGCCCTCGGCCCTGTCCTGGCGCGCCTGCGGGAGCGCCCAGCCCAGGCGCCCGCCCCTGTGGGCCCTCGACGCCAGGCGGTTCGGCCAGCTCTTCAGGAAGTACGCGGAGATGATCAACCTGAAGGACCCGCACACTTGCCGGGTGCGACACGGCTCGGCGAGCTGGGACATCGCCAGCGGGACGCGGAGCCTGGAGGCCGTGCAAGCCCGCCTTCGGCACGCCAGCGCGACCAGCACCCAGCGGCACAGCCGAGCAGCTCGGTGCACCGCAGAGCTCGCGCTGGCGCCGGAGTCGGTCAAGACCTTTGGCGCCGCGGTGGCGGACCAGTGGGCGCTGACACTCCGAGGCCGGAGCCGCCTGCCGCCCCGCCCGCGGCGCCCCGACACACCGTGGTGAGCAGGAGGCCAGCGGGTGACACATACCAGCCCACTGACTCCTTGTTCCTCCCCTCCCTCCGCAAGCGCATGCAGAAGTTATTTGATGCGGCCCGCAGAGGGCGCAATCGTGCTCAGGTGTTTCTGGATCTTTTCGCCGGTGACGGCAGTGTGGCTAGTAAAATTTGATCGTGTACTGAGTACGGTGTCGTCTCAATTGATATTAGGTCTGATCCTTGGCTTGATCTGTCTGACATCCGTCTCGTTCGTATTCTCATAGGGTGGATCGGATGTGGAGCAGTGCGCGGCATTTGGATCGCTCCACCCTGCAGCGCCTGGTCAGTTGCCAGCCGTGGTAGATGCAGATCGCCACTTAACATCTATGGGCACCCAGATCTCGACCCCAAAGGTTTAGCCCGTGCCCAGCTTGGAACTTTTGTTGCTGAAGCACTCTCTACTCATAGTCACCGCCTGCCTCAAGAGAGGAATGCCTGTTGCATTCGAGAACCCTATGTCCAGTCTGATGTGGCAAGAACCCTTACTATCTCATTTGCTCACCCTGCCAACTTGTAACACTACTGTCTTCGACTTTTGCGCTCACGGGACGCGGTGGAGAAAAAGCACCCGCCTGGCGTCTTGGCACTGCGGCGCAGCCCCTGAGGCGCTGACCCGCCGGTGCCATAGCGTCGGTGTCAGGTGCTCATTCTCTGGCCGTCCTCACATATCCCTCGAGGGTAAAGCCCCTTGCGGGCGCCATTGGACCTCCATCGCCGAGCCGTGCCCGCCCTCCGCGGCCCGAGCTATGGCCCGCTGGTTGTCTCGTGCCGCGGATCGGATTCAACTCGATAGTTTGTCCCGTGTGTGTAATTGACATGTGCCGGCCAGAGGCCAGGTTTGGGTCTTCGGTCACTTCAAGCACGTGCTTCATGGTGGAGCCCGCCGGTCAGCCCGCCGTTCTCCATATAGATCGAACCGTCTCTGGTGAAGAAACGGGTGGGACGTGGCGGCGTTTTCAAACTTCCGTGTCCTGCCATCCCGTTTGCCGTCAATGCCACCGTCCGATGGCATTCATCTCAAGCTCTCTTCCTCCCTCCCCATCCTCCTGCATGCAGTGATTCTGTTAATGCCAACTCTGCTGGTCACTTCAAGCGCGTGCTTCATGGTGGAGCCCGCCGGTCAGCCCGCCGTTCTCCATATAGATCGAACCGTCTCTGGTGAAGAAACGGGTGGGACATATATATGTGTGTGTAATGTATATATATATATATATATATATATATATGTATACATACCATTGTATGTTCATATTCACATATAGGTGTATGTATGTGTATATATATATACATGTGTTGAGGGGGGGGGGGGGGGGGGGGGCGATGCCCCCGTCGGCGATCTTGCATCGGTTCGTGGGCGACCGCGTTTTGCATCATTCATGCGTCGCCGCTTGTTTATCGTCAACAGCGGTTTTCGGATATGCATGGCCCTCGTGCTCACTTGCGTTGGCATGGTGAGCTTGACGACGCGCAGTGGCGACGGCGACTTGCGTGCGCGGCGCCTGTGGGATGCGAACGTCGGCGCCTCGTCCGCCTCCTGCGCGCAGCTGGCGGGGCCCTCGCCAGCGACGGGGCTTGACAGACAACCGCGCGGCAACGACGATATGACTTCGCGCTTGGAGTTTAACGCAGCAAGCATTTCCCCAGTTCTTTGATCATGGATCCTGCCCCGCGCACCAGAACAGCCACTGGGCGGGGCTACTGCTGTCCGCCCTGAGATCGCGGGTTAACCGCAGGGGGCCTGCCCCGCATCATGTCACGTGCGCGCCGCCAAATCCCATCCATGATCTGCATGCCACCATTGGTGCATATCACATCTCCACTGGGCATGCCGCGGCGAAGCATTCGGGCGCGCATGGGCCCTGCCCGCTTGCCACTGATCTTCCTCGTCCTGTGCGCCGCGACGCCGTGGGGAACGCCGTTGATCATCCTCTTCCTGCTTGTGCCGTTCTTGTGGGAACTAGCGCCGTCTGCGCGCAGAAACACGCTGCGGGCCTGCTACCGCTTCGCCGCCTGAGGTTCCCAATCTTTCTTTGTGGCTCGCCCAGGGCCCGGCGATCGCGCCGTCGCGGTCATCGTCGACGTTCTGGGCGTCGTCGGGGAAGGTGGCGACACTCTCTGCGCGACCTCTCCCGCCCGATGCCGCCTCGCCTTCTCGCAACCCGCAGTTCCCGCAATGTCTTTCCTTAAATTCATTCCGCTAGCTTCCGCGCCGCGCCGCGCCCCGCCGCCGACGGCGCCGGATTCGACACTTTGCCCCCGCGCCTTCGCGAAACGAGAGCGAGAAGCGCCCGGCCGCGACGAAGAGCGTCTCGCATACTTTTCATTGCGTTCTCACAGTACATAATTGAGTTACTGCGGTACCAACTGCTTGCAATCCTTGCAATTCCCAGCAGAAGTGAAGGCCATGCGGTTCGCGCGAGGCACGATCTATCCGCGGCAGCGCTGGGCGTTGCATTGTAGAGAACCGTTGCCCTTGCGCCGCCGCAGCTTCCCAGCGATGCGCGCGCCGCAGAACGGGCCGACATGCTCAGTCCAGTCCTTTGAAAAGCTTGCGTTCGTTGACTGCTTGGCCAGTTGTTGTTCGGCGATCGATGTTTCTCAATTCCCATGGATCGCTTCTGATGATTTCGCTTGGACCGCTGCTTGAGTGCCATGCTTGACGTGCGGAGTCCCCTTCCACGACGCAGAGAATTTGTTGCGTCGAGCTCCTCTGGCCGCGCGCGCGGGCGCCGTTTCTCTGGTTCGGGCGCGGGAAAGCAAGGCGCAGGCCACCTGTTAATGCTCTTCATCGGGCGATTATGCGCGGCCTTTCTCCCGGTTTTCAGGCGCCCGCGACCTGACCCTTCAACGTCGTCGTCTGCCCCCCCCCCCCCCCCCATTGCTGGGGGATTGGGCGTCGCGCCATTTGGCGCGCTAGAAGTACATGCCCCCGCGTCTCGACGCAGCTGGCGCGAAGCAATGGGTGAGCGCCCGCGCGTCCGATCCGACGGCGCAATCGCAGATGTCAACGATGCCCCCGCGCATCTTCAAAGTCGCGAAATGCCCTCCTGCGCCTTGCTGTCAACGAACGACTTCGGAGCGCGCGCGAAAAACGTCTCTGGATGTCGTGCCGCGTCCTTGAAGCCGTGAGACTGACGGCCCCCTCTGAGAACCGCGCCCCCCAATGGTAATTGAAACTGCGGGCGCTGCGGGGGCCGTCGCGCGGCGGCCGCGCCTCTCCTGGGGCCGACTCCAGTTGCTGGACTGCGCGGCGCGAGCAGGCGCCAGTGACGTTGGGCGCGGGCTGGGGCGGCAGCTCTGCGCGTCGGGCGGCGCAACCAGACGCGGGCGGCGATATCGCTGAGCAGCGGCTGGACATGCCGACGCGCAGCTCAGTCTGCATTTGACAAGAACCCTTCTGTGACCTTTCGAGAGCGTCGATTATATCGATCAGCTGGTCAGGGGTTGATCGAAAAAGCTCGTCGACTCGTCGAAGATGCAACGTGCGACTTCCTATTTGTGGGCGGCGCAGATCTTGCGCATCCGCTGCGTCTTGCCGCCCTCGCAGCTCTGGAGAGCGCAGGGGAGTTGCGTCGCAGGATGCCGCGGCCAAGTCCCATGCTGCAGCCGCATATGTTGGAAGCGACGCGGCTTCAAGATCATCTTTTGATTGCGCCGCATCCGCGGCGAGCGACAGCATGAACGGCGAAATGACGCTTGGCTTGCCGTCTTCGAGGCGAACTGACGCCGAGGCCGAATATTTTCGAGATCGCCGTCTTAGCCTCGGCAAGATCTACTTGCAAGTGTTCCCTGGCCAAGTGTCTCCAGCTTGCGTGGCGTTTGACGGGAAGCTTCAAGGATCGCAGCGGCGCTTCGTCCTTCGATTCAGTTTCCCGACGTCGCGAAGTAGAAGCCTGGGGGGGCAGCTTTGGACGTCGATGTTGTATCCCAAACCCGCCCGAGCAGCCTCGCGCGACTCTTTCGCGAGCCATTGCAGTGCTGGGCTTCGCGCGCGCACCCTCCCCGGCAGTCTGCGTTTCAGATTATAAGTCACTTGCGGGCCCGCGCAATTGCCGGCGCGCGCGCCTTCAGCCCCGCGACGACTGATGTAAGGGCAGCTGTCGGCGCCTTCTTTTGCGCGGGCGCGAAGCGCGGCAGGGGTGGCGCGGTCCGCCCCATTGTTCACGCAGCATGTTTTTGTAAGCATCGCCATTTGTTCCTGCTGAGATCTCGGACATGACTTCGGCGCTGGCCCGCGGCGAACCCCAGTCGCCCCAGCGGCCGGGATGTTGAGCGCCGTAAGTTATCAGAAGCGCGTCGGATGATGTCAAAACGAAAATCAGTTTTCTGGTAATTGCCACTGCCAGCTGGGCGTAGTTGATGCGGCCGTGCTACAGCTGTTTCAGCGAGTTGATATCTTACCCTTTCTTGCATGTCTTCGTGGCCGCTGCAATGGTCGCCGCCATCCTCTGGATTGCATGTGCCGCGGCTTTGGGCGATCCCATAGTTTCCGCGCGTACTTGCCGAATTCATGTCTCTTCAGCGCTCGGCCCCCTCGGCGCCCGGCCGCTGCCCCTCGCCCACGTTGATCAGGTTAGCCGCCACCCGTTCCCTCGGGTGCTTCGTCCGTCGCGGCGGCGCGCAGGCATCCAGTGCAGGCGCGCCGAGCTGTTTGGCCTTCGAGGACATATTCCAGCGATGAGGCCCCCAGGGAACGTCTGCTAGAAAAATTGGCATGGGTTTCGTCGAGAGCAGCGACGCGAGCTGGCGACGCGCCCGGGTAAAATGGCGCCCCTGCTACCGAGACTCCTCCTGGACTCAGAGGCAGTTTGGCGCGGCGCGTCGGCGGCTTCGTCCGAGCGCGCTCGCGCGCAGTGTGGATTTTGCGGATCCCCTGTTCCCGCCATCTGATAATGAGACATTCATTTTGCGTGGGGTTGCCGCCCAGTGCGAGAATGTTATGTTCCCGTCGAGTTCGCGCGCATTCGGCCGCCCAGAGTAGGCGGCGCACAACGCGCGACGCAGTCGTTCCAGCGTTTGGTCAGACGGGTTCCATGCCGGGTGCGCGGGGAGGGGGGCGCGCGTGCCACCGGCTGTCTTTATTCGTCAGGCAGCTCTCAGTCAGCCCGTCGGGCCAGCGCGGCGTCGCGTTCTCGAAGTAGTCAACAACAGCGGTCGCCTTCGGCCAGTCCTGGGCGAACCATTCGACGAATGCGTCCTTAATCTCCTGGACGTTGGTCCCGGTCGTCCAGCGTGTCTGTAATTAAGCAGCCAATGCTCCAGCTTGACGCCGCCGCTGCCCGCGCGGGTGCTCCGGGAGGCCCCTCTCGATGTCGGCCCGGATCATTTGTTGGGCACACTCGGACTTGGGCGGCCTCAGCGCGGAGAACACGGCATCCCATGTCCAGTCTACATCGGCTTTCATCAAAATCTTGAACATCCTCTGCGCACGCACCAACGACTTCCCCCAAGAACCGCATCCTCGACTCTGGGAGCTCGGTGATAGGCTTCATCGCACCGCTGCCATACATATACATGGGGTCTGGATGCGCCATCATATACTGACTCGCTGCAAGAAGGTCGCTAGCGGGGCCCCACTCGATGTTCGTGGACGCGTGGAGCGAGACCACCATGAACGCGCGGCGGGACGCAGCGTCTGGAACGTAGCCCCACCCTGCTACTTCTGCGCGTCATTGATTCAGCAAGGTGGCCGCCAGTTTGCGCATCCAGGGAGCAGGCGCGTCTTCTTCTGGCTCGGTCCCCAGCCTTCAGCCATTTTCAATGGGGGCCTTGTATGCGTCAGGCCCCGCGTGTTTTGGATTCCCCTGCGTCCAACGTCTTCGGATGCGCGGCGCCAGGCGCTGCGGGGCGCTGGGCAAATGCGTCTGCCGCGCGTGGTGGCAGCGGCATGTGGCCTCCAGGAAGGACGCGCGCTTTGGCCTTCGCCTCGCTCTCCGCTTCCAGAACCTCGCGACCGTCGACGAACTGCTTGTGCAAGTTGGCGGGGGGCTCCGATTGGGGGGCATGCGAATGCGGCGTTTTGTGCGTGCCAGGCGCGATATTTCACGGGGACAGCGCGGCTGGCCCCGAGGCGCGCTTCCCTCGCAAATGCAATTCCGCCTTCAGCAGCTAGCCCCGCGTGCCCAGCTGCCTTGCCTGGTTCATTGGCAGCGGAGAGGTCAACGAGGGTCGAAGGAAGTCTTTTGTTGAAGCACATCGCCGCAGCATAAGAACAAGGTTCCATGCTCGCCCCAAGTAGCTGCCCTCCGTCGCAACCCCAATAGAAGGCGCTGGTTGCCAGCCGTTGCAGTAGCGACGCGGCTGCAATCTTCCGACACGGAGTTGCGCGACGCGGTCGCCAGAGCGCACCGATTGAGGCGCGCAGCCAGATGGTTGATCCCAAATGGCACCAACCGTGGCGGGGGGCTGTTCATCTGCGCGGTTCAATGCTGTAGGGCATGGAACAGCACTTCCGATTTCTTCCAACACCCTCAGGTTTCGCGCAGATTCCAATATCGAGTGTCTCAAAAAGATATACGTAACACGCGGTCGTGCATAATCCGTCTTGAAGCAAATGGTATGCGCGCACTTGGACGAATTCTTGAGAGAACCATCGGTCTTCCAACCTTTTCTTCAAAGGCGACCAAAGGGCCATTCGCGCGCCCATGTCAAAAGCATGCGATCGCATTTGCGCGCGTGCTGAGGAGGGGAAGCGATCCTTATCGAGTAAGGCTATGCGGGCCCCTCGCGCGCGTAGACCGCGCACGCATATCGAAATCCTTCCAACACCTACACCGCCGACGCGAGGACTCCATCACCGTCATCGGCGTGATTCGCATCGGCGCCGTCGTTGGCCTTGCCGTCGTCATCAACGTTGTCGTCACCAGCACCGGTGTTCTTCTCATTGCTTCTACCGTTGACGACGTCGTCATGATCTTGCGCCCGCCCAAGTCACCGACTCGCACTGAAGTGACCACGCGTCAGCGCGGCCTGCGATACCTGTTGGGCAGTGCCTAGCGGTCAGCGCCGCCGCGGCCGCGTCGGTCGCGCCAGACCCGTTGGCCGTTCTGCGCGCGTGATGAAGCTGAGCGCTCGATCCCTCTCTCGATCGTTCGACGGAGCCTACAAAGGCTGGCTTCGGATGCCCCCACATGCGCCTGGAGGTTTTCAGAGGCTCAAGCATGGCCAACAACGCAGGGTCCAGTTGAATCGAATCGATTCGATGGGAGTTCGATACCAGCTGGGCCGATCGGGTTTGATTTTGACATCCCGACGTTTTTTGTGCGGGCCGATGTTTGCTTGGTGGTGTTGTGCATTAGGGCGCAGCCTGTCTGATTTGAGTTCGGCTCCATGCCGGCGCAGCCCGATCCGACGCACGTTCCGATCGGGTCCGACTTCCCGGTTTGATGTTGACCAAGCTTGCCAAAAACATCTGGATGTCTCCAGAAGTCAAATGCGGCCAGGAACACCGAAATCGAATACCGAGGCGCGATACCACGGATGCGCGATCCCGTGGAAACGCACCGCGCCAGGCATCCGCGCAGCGCGCCCCGTATGTCCACGGGGTCGCGGCCGAGGAGCCTGGACCGCGAGGGCGTGGGCACGGATCTACGGTAGACTTGTGCAGTGTCAACGCGGCAGCGACACCCACTGCGGGCGTTCCAGGTGGATCGCGGCCATTTCCCCTGGTGGGTTCATTTCGATGCCGCCGATTCGATTCGATTCGATTTGATTTCGATGGATTCCGATTCCGATTCGATTCGATTTCGTATTCCGATGTTGGATCCGGTTTCTCTTTGGAGGCCTACTAGCCTGCCGATGTCTGTTGGTTCGACGTTTCCCAAGTCGCCTGCCGAGATCCGTCGATCCGATTCATGTCGATCGCCGATCCGACTTGTCGCTTCGATTCTGGGCTCTCTTGCCCCTGAAGCGTTCGGCATCGAAGGATCTCTGCTGTCGGAGCCCCGCGATGGCTCCAGGTCGAGCGGCCCACGCGGGAGAGCTGACGGGAAAAAGAAAGAAGAGCCACATTTAGTGGAATGGACAGGAAAGGAAGGAGGGTGTTGAACCATCTTGGAGGCTATTTTGGAGCATCGGAGGCCTCCTTGGAGCTACATTACTATTGAGGGATCTTGGGGTCCTCTTGGAGCTCTTTCGGAGCATCTTGGGGCCATCGTGGGGCTCTTTGGGGGTTTTGTGCTCCTTTTGGAGCTCTTTTGGGGCGCCTTGGGGCCCTCAGGGGGCCCTCTTAGGGGCTCTCTTGGGGCTCTCTTGGGGCTCTCCCGGGGCCCTCTTGGGAGTTATGGAGCGCCTCCTGGAGCCAGTTTGGATACCATCGATCAAAAGAGGGGGGTCCTCGATTTGCCTCCGCCCTCCAGGGCCATCGAAATAGTCTCTTGGGACGCTCTTGGGGCCCTCTTGGGGCGATGTTGGGCGCTCTTCGCGCAGTCTTGGGGACCTGTTTGGCCCTTCTTGGAGCTCTCTTGGGCCACCTTGGGCTTATCTTGAGGCCTCAAAGGGGCATCGGAAGCGAAAAGGCGAGAAGGCACACATCAGTGATTGTCCTATGGTTTTTGAAAGATTGTGGCTTCTCGAGGAGGTCCTGCGGGTGGCCCTCTTGGGGCCTCTCGGAGGCATGTTGATAGTTATCTTGAGCCATGTTGAGGTATCTTTTTCGATCTTGGAGGCGGTCTTGAGCTCTCTGAGGCCCTCTTGGAGCCATCTTGGGCGAACAAATCCCTCTGACACCCCGCGCCTCCACTGTCCAGGCCCAACGGGGGTAGGGGTAGGGGTAAACCCCTCCCCGAAGGGGAAGAGGGTATCTTGAAGGAGGGAAGAAAGACGACGTTCGACCACCTGTCGCCCAGAGGGCTGGTGGGATTCAACAAATCCAGCCGCTGCATGTGGCCCGCCTGCGATGAGCTGGACGAGATCGTGGCGGGATATCCGATTCCGATCTCGACCTCTGGGTCGGTTCTGGAGGTCGCCGCAGCGGTCGCGGCGGTCGGAAATCAGGGCAAGGTTTTTTCCAAGCCGCCCCCGCTCTGCGATGGAGGCGTGGCTCATAATTGACAGTGTCGTGACACAGAGTCGGCACTTTATGCCACATCTGGGCAGTCGTGTTCCTGTTGGTCAGGGTTCACTTGCCACGCAGCCGCGAGAGCCTCTTTGCGGGGCCGCGAGGCCATCTGCAAGAAGCACGACATCCACTATCACGAGCCCGGGTTCTTCGAGGCCGCGCCGGTGCGGCTGTCGCCCCCCGGCCTCTTCTTCGGTCTCCCTGGCACCCCGTCCCTCGGACGGCCGCCGAGAGTGCATCGGGGCGCCCCGCGAAGGCCAGCGAGGACCGGCGCGGCCGTGGCCCTGGCCTCTTCCTCGGGTTCCTGGGACCTCCTCTGCTCAGACAGCCGCAGAATCAGGGGTACCTTTTGGGGGAGGGGTAGGTGCAGGGGGAGAGGCTCGGGGGGGGTCGGCTCAAGGCGTTCTCGCCGATACTGGCCAGTTTCACAGCCTTGGCATGCGGTCCAGTGGCTGCGCCTCGCCGAGCCATGGGCCGAAAACCACCAGACGTCGAAGAGTTCAGGGGCAACGTCAGGGAGGATAGGCTCATTGAGGGGATGCATCGACCCTCGACCCCCAATCGCCGATAGGGGCCTGACAGCCTGCCCGCCCGGGAGCGTGCGGTTTCGCTATCGGGGGCCTAACGCCGATCTATCGGCGGAGTATCGCCGATTCCAGGCCGATGTTTCCCCTTTCGAGCGGTCCCAAGTACCATTCCCCCTCATCAGATACCCGCCTAGGGGGCCTCGAGAGGACGGGGACCTGTCCAGATCGGGTCGGACGAAGGGGGGGGGCTGGGAGTGGGAGCGTCGCGAGATCTCCTGCACCTCTTGTGGACCTCTGGGGGCCCCGTCGCCACGGCCACATCCGCCTCGAGATTCCTGACGCTTCGCGTGTATCCCCACCAGCTGTCTGGCCAGTTGCTCGGAGCTTGGCGCCGCAAGGGCGACTTACTCCGCAGCTTGCACCTCTGTGCGCTAGGTGCGTCCCAGTGAATGCTGAGCATTTTGCTCAGTGCACGTGCATTGCACGCCTCGCGTGGAATTTGCCTGTTCCGCCGTCCCGGACACGCCTGTTGCCGCCAGACCATTGTCGCGCGGCCGCCGACCAAAAAGAAAGTTGTATCCCCACCATCGCCTCTGCTTTAATTTTCTCGCGTTTCCTCTGCCTAGTTAGTCTCTGCATAGCCCGCTTTGACCTGACTCGCCGCCGGCGCGCCCGCCCGCGGCCGCTGACAAAAGTGTATCCAGACCACTCGGTCCTGCTCGTCTCTGACGGTGCCTTGTGCCGACTCACACCGAGTGATTGACCTCTGCGTGTTTATGGGCGCGCCGCCGCGCCATTCTGGCTGCTTTTATTCGATGGTCGCCACAGGGATCTCCACGCCACCGTTTTTTTTTTTTTTTTTTTTTTTTTTTTTTTTTTTGAATTTATATAAAAAACACGCACCGCAAGTAGAAACATTGAACACCCCATCTTCGTTGGCACTCTTTCAAAATTCCATACCAGGCGCCAGCAGTGGACTTGCAAAGTTTGGAGGGCGCCTCAGGCGACACCCCGCGTCTCTCGTGCAAGCGTTGCTCAGCATAGCCAGACGAAGGTCCCGACCATATGCAATTGCATGCACCGCCGCTGTATCCACCGCCTTCGGCGGAGCTCCCAATGGGGCCGCGAAGCGTCTAAAGGGTGTGCCAAAATGGTCGCGGATGCGAGCGCTGGCATTAAGGCGTTCAGTGAGGCTCCCTATGGGACCACGGAGCGTGTGATGGGGGGCCACAATGGGCGCGGTGGGCGCATGCGGGCGTTGGCATTTGGGCCGTCGGTGGATTTCCGTATGGGACCACGAAAGGTTTGCGGGGGTGCCAGTATGAGCACGCGGGCGCTGGCATCTGGGCTTTTGGTGGATCTCTGTATGGGGCCACGAACCGTGTGATGGGGTTTGCCACGCTTGGCGCGGTGGGAGCATGCGAGCGTTTTCATGTTGGCCTTCGGTGGAGCTCCCTAAGGGGCCACAGGACGTGTGAGGAGTGTGCCAAAATGGGTTCGGTGGACGCATGCGAGCGTTGGCAAATTGGCCTTCGATCCCTATGGGGCCGCGGAACGTGTGAGGGGTGTGCCAAAATGGGCGCGGTGGGCGCATGCGGGCGCTGGCATATGAGCCTTCGGTTGGGTTTCCGACGGGGCCACAAAGCGTGTGAGAAATGTGCCCGCATGGGCGTGCTGGGAGCATGCGAGCGCTGGCATTTGAGCCTTCGGTGGAGCTCCCTGTGGGGCCACGAAGCGTGTGAGTGGTACGCCACAATGAGTGCGGTGGGCGCATGCGAACGCTGTCATTTTGGCCTCCGGTGGATCTCTGCATGGGGCCACGGAGCGTGTGAGTAATGTGCCAACGTGGTCGCGGTGGGCGAATGCGAACGCTGGCATTTGGGCCGCTGGTGGGCCCCCTACGGGGCAACGAAACTTGCGAGGGACGTACCAAATTGAGCGCGGTGGGCGGATGCGAACGCTGGCATGTGGGCCGTCGGTGGATCTCCTCCTCTAGGGCCACGGAGCGCGTGAGATGTATGCTGAACTTGGTGCGGTGGGCGCATGCCGGCGCTGGCGCTTGGGCCTTCGGTGGAGCCCCCATCTGGGGCCACGAAACGTGCGAGGGGTGTGCTAAATTGAGTTCGGTGGGCGCATGCGAGTGCTGGCATTTGGGTATTCGGTGGGCCTCCCTATGGAGCCACGGAACGTGCGAAGGGTGTGCCACAATGGGATCGGTGGGAGCATGCCAGCGTTGGCATTTTGGTCTTCGGTGGGGCTCCGTCTGGGGCCACGAAACGTCTGAGGGGTTTGCCAAAGTGAGGGGCGCGGTGGGAGCATGCGAGCGGTGGCATTTGAGCCTTCGGTGGAGCTCGACGCGTGTGAGGGGTGCGTACCAAAAAATGTGTGCGCGATGGGCGCATGCGAATGTGGAAGTTTGGCTTTTGGTGGAGCTCCCTATGGAGCCACGAAACGTCTGAGGGGTGTGCCAAAGTAAGGGGGCTGACGGGAGGAGGGAGGAGGGGAAGAGGGAAGAGGATGAGCGGAGAGGAGAGGAGGTGGGACGCGTGGCGCTGCACCACAACACGAGGACCCAACACTATTGTATGGTTGGGAACAAACTACAAGAACCTACAACTTGGGAACATCGGCCAGGTCCCTTGCTGCCCACGCGTTGATGATTACAGAGAAGTTCCTTTTCGTGGTGGATTGCACCATGATTCCTTGCTAAGGGGGATTTCACTAGGGATGCGGGTGTACCTCCTTCACAAGGAACACGAATGTAGGCATCGTCAACTGGAATGCTGAGTGATGGTGTAGTCCTGTACGTCAGGCATCCCGTTGCAATATTTTACACACGGAATCCTCTTTGTAATCTCGTACAAGTGAGCAACCCGTGATCGGACAAAGTTTCCCAGGTTTCTGTTTCCATGCGAATTTAACAAAATAGCAACATCGAACTTAGGGTACCGAAGTTTCGCCTGAGACGACCTCCGGATCATACATACATTGGGTTTGAATTGTGTAGAATCCGGGCAGAGAGAGAGGGAGAGAGACAGGGATATAGTGAGAGCGAATGAGAGTATTGCTACGGCCTTACGGCCGGTGCTACCGACCCTGAAGACGACGACGACGAATACGAGGAGGACGAGGAGAAGGAGGAGGAGGAGGAGGGGGATTAAGGTGGAAGGGAGCAGGAGAAGACGAAGGAAATGTTCCCCATGTGGGCCGAGGGAGTCGTAGCAGCGACAGATAGGGAGCCTTGTGGCCTGCGGCCCTTCCCGCCAACGTGCTGGGGTTGTGGTTGAAAGGCCTCTTGGATGTTTTCGGGCCTGTTGGGGCCTCTGTTGGGCCTCTTGGGGGTCTCTTGGGGGCCTCTTCGGGCCCCTTGAGGGGCTCTTGGGGCCTTCCGTGGGCTTCTTGGGGCGGGAATCTTTGAAATGTCGGTTCGTGGTCCTCTTCTTTGGCCTGCTTGGGGCCCTCTTGACGTTTTTTGGGGCTCCAGCACGCACAGGGGCGGACGCGTATCTGACTTCCCCCCCTCCCCCAGGACCCCGCCCCCCGGGACCCCCCCGGGACCCCCCTTCCCCCCTCGACGGGGGAGGGATCAAAGAGAAGGGGCTTCCCTTCGACTCAAGTGCGACGTTGTTACGGTTTTCTCTCGCTGGCAGGCTTGAAGAGGAGTGTGCAGGGAAAGGGGACGACGGAGACGCAGGGAAGGAGGACAATGGATGCGTCGACTGAGCGCACGCCGACAGGGGGTCCACACGCCGACAGGGTCGGCGGATTTGCGAGAGAGAGAGAGTATTTAGCGAAACCGTTTTGCTTCTTGGATAGCACACTCCACATTCATTGGAACAAGCTGATTTCGTTTGGTACTCTTTCAGACTGCCACATCAGGGCAGATCTGCCAGATCCTTGACAGCTTGATTGGCGATGATTGCAATCGCACTCCTTCTGTAGAGGATTGTCGTCGGTTTCTGTTTGTGGCTGACTGCGATCGGGTTCCTTCTGGAGTAGATTGCATTGGTGTTCCTCTAGTAAAGGACTGCATGCGCATTCCTTCGGGGGGTGGTTCCAATGGGGCATCTTTTAAGGAGGATTGCAATGGATTTCCTTGGTGGAGGATTTCACTCGGGTTTCTGTTGCACAGGGTTGCAATGGTATGTCCTTTGTGCACCAGTCTTCATTCAACCACCGCATATGATTGCAATCGGGTTCCCCGTGTGGGGGATGCCAGTGGGATGCGTTACATACGTTGAGAATTGCGAGGGCACTCCTTCTGTTTAGGACTACAGCCGCATTCCTTCTGAGAATTGTTATACGAGGGGCCCTTCGGGGAGCAATCCAGCACGATTGTTCGCGGTGGATTGCAATTGGATTTCTCGCGTGGAGGGCTACATTCGATTTCTTCGTGTGACGGGTTACATTGGGAGTCCTTTTTCTACGCAGGGTTGCGATAGAATTCTGTTGTGAAGGTCACGGGGGGATTCAAATCGAATTCCCCCCCAAGGGGAGCACCATCATCCCCCGTGCTCGAAATTTCGTTCGGTGCCCGCCCGTGATCGCTTCGTGGGCGCTCGTGGGAGCCTTAAGCTGGAGATGTGCGCAGAGGTTTTGCCTGGTGCCCGCCCGTGGGCGCCTCGGGAGCACCCCGCGTTGGGAGTGTATACCAAAGCTTCGGCCGTTCGCTTGGTGCCCGCCCGTGGGCGCCTCGTGGGTGGCCCGATAGCTTGACATTATAGCGTGCACGGCATAGTTTGCACCACGTAGCTTGCACAGCAGAGCTTGCATTGCATAACTTGCGCACCATCACGTGGAGTCCACAGATGCCGCCCCACGTAACTTGCACCACATAGCTTGCACATCCGCAGTTGTATACAGTACGGTGTGGGATCCACGCTGGCTAACATATGTTGTGCCGATCGGACGGTTCTCGGCCTTTCCACAATGTTGCTCTCGCTACCCGTCAGTCCGAATGACGCTCTCGTCATCGGAGTGCTTCCTCGTCGTTGTCTTCTCCCCGCGTATTCCCCGTCCTCCGCCTTCCCGTGATATTGCTCCTCCTCCTCCTCCCGCTCCTCGCACTCCTGCTCCGACTGCTGCTGCTCCCCTCGTCATCCTCCTTCCTCATTCACAATCTCTGCTTCTTGCACATCCTCCAGCTCATCCGCCCCCCCATACACAGCTCCCCTTTTCTGATTGCGCATAGCGCGATGGTGTGCGTTTGCGGGCTCCAGGTCCGCAATGCCACCCATCGGCAAATAGAGAAACCATCAGTGTCACCGGACGGGGTGGATGGGATGGGGTATGCTATCAGATATGGCGCGAGTCCATTTATTTTGGGTTCCGTCCCATTCTCCCATCTCTCGTCATTCGCGCGCGTCTCCATTCCCCTTCTCCACTGTTCCGCTTTCTCCCTCTCCCCCGCTTCCTCCTTGGCATCCTCCCCCCTCTCCCTCTTTCCCATCCTGCCTAGCCTTCCACTTTGTCCCCGCCTCCGCGTTCCCTGCCCCCCCCCCGATATCCCTGTCCCATCCCCTCCTCCCCGTCGTCGTTGCCATCTTCTTCCTTCTCCCTTCTCCTCCCCCTCTCCCCCTTCACCTGCCTCCTATCCCTCTCCCTCCTCCTCCTCGTCCTCCTCCTACTCCTCCTCCTCCTTCTCGATTCCTCCTTCTCTTCCTCCTCCTCCTCCTCTGCCTCTTCTGTGCCTTCCCCTCGCCATCTCCGCCAGGGAAACGTCGAGATGTGGCGGGCGCTCAGGGACGCAGCTATGGAGGCGCGGGGGAATGTAGGAGCAGTGTTGTAGCCTCCAGGTCGCGGCGGGAGATGCTGCTGCTGCTGCTGGCCATGCCGACGGCGATGGCGATGACGATGCTGCTGCTGCTGCTGCTGCTGCTGCTGCTGCTGCTGATGATGATGATGATGATGATGATGATGATGATGATGATGATGATGACATTGCTGAGGATGATGGCGATGAGGATGCTTGCGGTTGTGATGGTGGTGATGATGTTGCTGGTGATGTTGATGTTGCTGGTGATTGTGCTGGTGATGATGATGATGACGCAACTCTTGGTGCTAATGATGATGGTGGTGCTGGCACCGATGCTCAGGATAATGATGATGAGGATCATAATGCGGATGGGGATTATGATAGGGATGATACGTGTGTTGTTGATGATGAACATGGTGATGCTGCTGATGATAATGATGGGTGATGCTCATGATTATGATCCTGATGGTGTTGCTGATTCTGATCAGGATGATGCTGATATCGATGCCGATGATCTGGATGGTTATGATGCTGATGATGATGATGATGGCGATGCTGACGACGACGATGAGGTGGATGATGCTGTTCGGATGCCGAATCTTCATGTTGATGCTGATGATGGTGGTTATGATGATGACATTGATGATGATGCTGATGATGCTGATGTCGATGTCGATGCTGAAGTTGATGCTGATACTTGTGGTGATGATGGTGATGGCGATGATGGTGTTCGTGTTTATGATCATGCTAGGTGCTTTTGATGCTCATGAGGTCGATGCTGATTAATTTGATGATGGTGATGATGCTGATGATGTCGAGGATGACGGCGGATATGCAGTTTTTTTTGTTGTTGCTGCTGTTGTCGTTCATGATGGTGTTTGTAATGATGCTTATTATGATGCTGTGGTTGCGGTTGATGTTGTTGATGATGATGTTGATGATGAAGATGATGTTGATGATGAGTATGCCGATTGTGGTGGTGGTGTTGCTGCTGCCGGTCATGCAGATGACGATAATGATGATTGTGGCTGTTGTGGTCGTCATGCGGATTGTGGCGGTGCCGGTGGCAATGAGGATGGTTGTGGTGGTGGTGGTGATGATGATGCTGTTGATGATGATGCTGATGATGTTGATGAGGAGCGGGAGCAGCATGATGGTGAGGAGGAGGAGGAGAAGAAGAAGCATCGACGGGTGACGAGGAGGCGGGAACGGAGAGCGGGCGAGGAAGAGGGGGAGGAGCAGGAGGAGGAGAAATGTTGAATGAGTCTTAGGAGGTTCCATGGACCTTTCGGAGCTGCTGGGGGCTCCAAGGTTTTTCAGGAGGGAGGGAGGGGGGACTTGTTTGGGACTCAGCCTGGCGTTGCAACAACTGTATGCCGTCATGAGGGACGGAGGAGGGAGGAGGGAGCGCAGAAGGTGACGGCGCCGAGGAAGGGAAGGGAGCGAATGAGTACGAGGGAGCAGGATGGGGGATGAGAAGGACGGGGAGGGAGGAGGGAGCATGAAGAGGAAGGGAGGGAGGGATGATGAGGGATGATGAGGAGGATGGAGGCGAGAGGGAGGGAGGAGCCAGCCCCGGCTCGAGCAAAATCAAGAACGGTTATGTGGTGCATGTTGTGGTTTCGAGTCCCAGGGCCGTCCAGAAGAGCTGGCCTCGGGCAATGGGTCGGGGGGTCAATTGGAGGCCCTCGTATCGAACAAACAGAGCCGTCGGGCGTCTGGGTTGGATGGGGTGGGGGACGCGGGTGTGATGTCTCTTTCCTTTTCTCTTTCTTCCTCTTTGGGATTCCCATTGCCTTTTAGGCTTTGCTCGCCCTGCCAAGGCCAGGCACGGATTGCGACATGTAGTCGATGGTGCTCTCTCTGATTACTTGATGTCTTCTTTCCTTTTTCCATCCACTTTCAATGGTTGCCGCAGCGTGGTTGTCGAATTTGGAAGGCAGGCTTACGAGGGCGCCGATGACTGGAGTTGCAGCTTCGGGATGGCCAGGGGGCGATTAAGAGGACGCAGGAGGTGAACAGCGAAAAGAGGAAGAACAGGCTGGAGGCACCACGCATGCGCAGACGCTGTGCGAGCACTTGGAGGTACGTCGGGGACTGGGACCACTACTCGGGAAGGGAAGCTTCGTCAGATTGGTGGGGCGGCTCAAGATGGTGGTCCAGGAAGTCAGATCAGTAGCAGGACAATGACCTCGAGTGGTGGCAAAACGACTTCAAGCCCCCGCAGGAGAGAAGCAGAGGTTACGGCCAGCATCCCCAATTCTTCGGCTTGGAGCATCTCGAGGTGAACGTCGCCAACACCGAGGCACGGACCACGCGCACCCGCTGTCAGCCGAACGCTCAAGCGTGCAATCTTTCCGAGGGCTAACCAGTGGAGCTGCAGAGCAAGTTCAAAAGTGTTCGCGCAAACCTAGATACGAGCCGGGGATGTCAGAAGTTGATAGAGCACCTCCAGTTGCTGAGTGGCGAGCGACCGGGTGACCATGAGAGAGTGAGGCTCAGTCGGCCGATTTTTCGAATACGGCATCATGAAGGGTGAGACTCACGGAATACGTCGTATGCCGTGACGCACACATGGCCTGGGCTGAGCTGTATGGACTGTCCTTTTCCCGACAACGTCAAGGCCCGATTCTGCGAGGAGGGGTCGCAGGTGTCAGGACAAGTGAGATTTAACTTGCGCGCCCTGATGGCCCGAGGTCAGTTCAGCGCTTCCGTTCGTCGCTCTCTCTCTCTCTCTCTCTCTCTCTCTCTCTTTTTTTTGCAGCTGGACATCATAGACAAACAGGTGTTTCCCTGTAGACGACCAACGGCTGGCACGAGTTTCGCCGCCACGTCCAATGAAACAGAGTGCGAGGTACGCGATGACGAGCATCAGATGAGTCTGCACGACGTGGAGTTCACGGAAGAAGAAGCAGCCTCGCTGCTCGCAACCATCGAGGCAGAGGACCTACTACGAGGACGAGACTTACCAGGTGTTCGCCGAGATTGCCGAGCCCAGGCGCCGCAACCCTTGGAGAAGGCCGAAGCAGCTGAAGGCCGCGCGCAAGGTCGACAGGGAGGTCTTCGACCGCAAGAGAGGCAATTCGACCCTGGGCCAGCGTCGCATCAGCAGATGACTCGACGACGCGCGCGAGAAAGGGCATTGGCGGGGAGACTGTCGGAAGCCGTGCCACCCGAATGCCGATGGGATGAAGTATGAGAGATCGGGGCCGGGTTCTGGGATGCCATCGCTGGCCAGCTCAGAGGCGACTTTCTTTTCGTTCGACGCTTTCGATTTCTCGTCTGCGTCGTGCGCCGCGTTTCTGGGGCAGCCCGACGAGGCCATGAGTCAGGTCAAGGCTTGCCGGTTCGTAGGAGTCGCACTTCGCGAGATGGCCGGCCATGGGTTTCTCGACGCGGCAGCCTCTCGAGCGGTCTTCGGCAAGCCAGACTTCGAGCGCATTGTGAGTTCGTTCCGGGAGAAGGGCCATGTCACTCACGTCGGGCACGATGGTGACTTGCCGCGCTCGAACGAGGTCAGTGGTCGAATCGTGCCGATTGCGAAAGCATCGGTTCCATTGTCATTATCCAGGTGCGCTGCTCTTGAGTGTCTGGCGCTCCCTCACGCGCGTCTTCCTTTGATTCCAGCGGGGGTTCTGGATTCCTTGGGGCCGTCATCAACGTGGGGGCCATGGGCTTTGACGACAGTTCGGATGGCATTGAGATGTTGATGCTGCCGCCCCCAGACATCCGACGACCTTGATTTAATTGAGGTCGTCGTATGATATTGATTTTGTCGGGTGACTCCAATTCCTCCAGATCTTATGAGATGACTCCAATTCTTCTGAGATGCCTCCAATTCTTCCGATATGACTCCAATTCTTCTGAGATGACTCCAATTCTTCCAGATGTACGACATTGTACGATCGCACAACATCTCCCAAGCCGAGTTGCAGATGATTGCCATGTTGTCATTGCGCCGATGAAAATATGGTATACTTGCGCCATTATATGTTACGCCATGACATGTTAATTCGTTGGTTTGGGGGTTACGGCGGAGGCGGGGGAGGTTCATGCAATGGCCACTGCGCCAACCCGCCTGGCCCGCGGACCCCGCCGCCGAGCCTGACGGCTGCCGTGGAGCGGCACGGCGGCGGGGCCACCCTTCCCACCCCAGCGGGCCGCCGCGGCCTGCGTTTTTTTGGGGGGGCCCTCTGGCGGTCCCGCTTGGGACCGGGTCGCGGGAAACGCGTGGTCGGGTCCTGTGGGGCTGCCACGGGTGCCCTCATGGGAGGGTGGCGGTTCGGGGGGGGGAGGAGTACGGAGGATATTGCGTGTTTGCTTTTTGGAGACCCCGTGTGTGTATATATGTATATGTATATATGTATGTGTGTATATATGCATGCATATATATATATATATACATGTATATATATATATATATATTTATACACATGCATATATATAAATTCATATACGTACGTATGAATATATACATATCATATATATGTATGATATGTATCCTTTCCCTGACTGGGACCCCCCCAAACCCTGTAATCCCCGATCGCGGGGGGCCAGAATTTCCGCGCGCGCGGGTCACCAGAAACTGGCGTTGAACATCCTGCAGCACCTTTAGATTTAATGTCTGCTTTGGGAATACATAGGCTCCTGTGGCCCATGTTGAAGCAGAAACTAAATGGGAAATTTCGGCAGACATTGAAATTCAGCTTCTGCTCCAACGTGGAAGCATACATTAAATTTGAAATTATGCCTAATTATCAAGACAAGTTTCTGGTGATCCGCAGTGAACGTTTACATGCAGACATAGAAATGCATGTATACCTATAAGACCCCAGGCTGGCCGCAACGCAGGTCACCTTTAGTCGCCGCCCGATGGTGACGCCACTTCGCCGCTGACGGGGTTCGGAGGGGAACGCGGGCCTGGGCGTGGAGGGCGAGGACGGACAAGGAGGACGGGTAGAGTTATTCGATCCTTCTCGGGCCCTCTCGTCGCCGACTTCTTC